TCTCGCACTCGTGGGGCGTGCCGTCGGGGTGCGAGAGAGACAGGGGCACTGTTCGGGAGCAGGCTGCGGGCCTCGCGGGCCTCGCGAGGGGAGCAATGAGAGACCCCTTGTGCGCGCAATTTGGCAGCAAAAGCAAGCCGTGCCTGTAAATCAGCAGGCAGAGGAGGAAGAATGCGACGGATGAGCTGTCCTGCGCGGCAACGCGGCGCCCGACGAGGCCGCGGGAGAGTGCCGACGGCTTGCCCCTTCCAGTGAGGGAGTCCGTTCCGTTGGTACCCTCGTGCCTCGCCTAGTGCTTCCTCGCCTCGTGCGTTCGACTCGGGTCCTCTTCGACGAGACTGGTGGCCAAAACGAGTCATCATGCAAAAACTTCCCCCGGCAGCGCGCGATTGAGGCGTCAAGTGTGCGGCCGCCACGCCGGCATCGTCGCCCTCTTCCTCGCCGAGTCCGTGGGGAGCTCGCCGTCCTGGCAGCCCTGCCAGTCCTGCCAGTCCTGGGGTGGCGGCATCACCACTGCCTCGCCGGCCGCGGCGGCGCCAGAGCCAGCCTGCCGGACAGGGAGACAACTGCTGGCCCCTTGGGGGCGGCGGGGCGGGGCGGGCCGGGGCGCGGGCGGGGCGGGGCGGGGGCGGCATCCTGAGAGACGGAGGGGAGGCCCGGTCTCACGACCCCGCCCCGCCCCGCCCCGCCCCGCCCCGCCTTTGAAATGCCAACATAAATTCGGAGAGCTATCCATAGGGAAAAGTTATTGTCCGTCATGAAGGGCCGCGCAGGTTCTGAAATTCGCGAGGATTCTGATCGGCACGCGAGGAGTGCTGGATGCGTACCCGGAAGGATCCCGGAAGGATCCCGGAAGGATCCTGGCTGTGCTGCTCCGCAGCGCACTGCCCGGAAGGTTTGACCACAGGGAGCTGGGGGTTGGTTCAGATTGCGCGCCGCTTCGACTCCTCCACACACCGCCTTCGCTTTTTTCCGCCGCCCTCTGCGCCCCGTCCGCGGCCTGGCCTGGAGCCTGGAGGGCCTGGAGGGGCTGGAGGGGCTGGAGGGGCGCGCCCGGAGAGGCCCCGGAGAACTGCTGGAAGGTCACGAATTCGCACTGCTTCCCTCTCCTCCGGAACCTCTCCTCCGGGGAACCCGTGTAGCTCTCAGCACTTCTCTCCCCGGAGTCCGACGGGGGGTGGCTGAGGGGCGCGAGGGGCGTCTTGGGGCGGGGGGGGGGCGGGGCGGGGGCGGCAACACGAGCCGCAAACTCTGACCCCGCACAGAATGCGGCCAGTCCAAGCCTTTGCTTTTCGGCCACCACACGTCTTGAGGCTCGCACCCCGCACGCGGCTGCAGCAAGCGGGCGCAAGCGGGCAAGTGCCTCTTCCTGGAGACGCTGTGGTCTGCGCATGGCGGCGCATGGCGTCTCGTCTCCCTGCCCCCTGGCCGTGTGTGCTGTCACCCCCCCCCCTCCCGGGGAGACCGCACGTGATTTCGCCGGGCCGTGCCATAAAACGAAAAGAATCTGCACGGCTTCCAGGCACGCCACATGCCCCCTCCTCCTTCCCTTTCCCTTCGCCCCTCACTCGTTCCCTTTCTCGCTGCGCCATAAAACGAGAGGAAACCTGCAGAGCTTCAAGGGCCAAGGGCTGCCAAGGGCTGCCAAGGGCCCCAGGGCGGCGTGGCGCGGCGTGGCGGGGTGGGGGCCGTCCCCAAACGGGCTGTAAGCCACAACAAGGCCCCGAGGCCCCGAGGCCGAGGCCGGCCGGGCTGGCGTTGCCATGCTGGCTCTGGAGTCGTCGGCCGCCGGCAAAGGTTGCGGCTGAGGATGGAGGCTGCATTTGCATGCGACCGCCCGTGGCCGTGGCGGCTGCGGCGTCGACCGCGGTCACCGGGGTCGCCGGTTCGATCCCCCGGCACCCCCGAGGTTTTCCTGGACGTAATGAAGGCCGTGGGGCCGGCCATCGACCGGGCTGCGCTGCCAAGCAGGCCGACGGTGGACCGAGGCAGCCGGGGCAGAGCAGCCGGGGCACTGGACCGGTGCTAAAGCCGGGCCCTTGTGGAGCAGGCGGCAAGCGTCAATGCCTGGCTCCAGCCGGCGCCGCTCCCACGACAAGCGCCCCGCCCCGCCCCGCCCCGCCCCGCCCCGCGGCCCCTTTTGGGGTGGGCGGCGCCACCGTAAGGAGAAGAGGGAGGGAAAAAAGTAAGGGTTAGCACCTCGCGCGGCGCGGCGTATGGCGGGAGAGCGAGAGAGAAAGAGAGCGAAAAAAAAATGGGGATGAATTACGAGGAGGACAAGGAGGTCGAGAACAAGGAGAACAGGAAGTCGCGTCGCGGAGCCCGGAGGAGAAGGAGAAGGAGGAGGAGGTAAGGACGGCGATGAAAGATGGAGTCGGGGACGCCGGGGACGCCGGGCGTGGGTGCGGGGGTGGAGGCTCGGACACAAAATGGACCGGACAGCTCGGCCAGCCTCGGCCAGCCTCGGCGCGCGGGAAGCGCAAAGCACGGCCACGCACAGACCGACGTGTCCAGGATTGGATTTGCCTTCTTCTCTCTCTCTCTCTCTTCCTGGCCTTCGGCGCCTCCGCGCCGCGGAGCACCGAGCTGAGGATGCTGGGGTCAAGCCCACTCGAGTTACCGCCAACTGCCGTTCTTATTCTTCTCCTGTTACTCTTCTTTCGCTGCGAGGAAGCTGGTAGGATTTTTGAGTCGACTTATGAGTTTATGATCCGGACTGCCAACCCGCCGGGCGCACTTCGTCCATCGTGGCTTGACTATGCCCGACTGAAGCAAAATCAATATGTCCGCTCGCACCTGCCTCGCGGTGGCCTCGCGGTGCAAGTGGCGATCCCCGGTGCACTCCATAACGCACGCGGGGAGAGAGAAGATAAGACAGGGAGAGAAAGGGGTCGCCATCCTCCCCCTCTCCACCCACCCAGGCCGGCGCGCAGCCGCGAGGCGCCATGCTGGCCGAGGACGCAGCTAGCGCCAGAGCGGCGGGGCGGCGGGGCGGCCGCTAGCGCTGTACGCGCCCGGCCTGGGAAGCTGTGCAGATTCTTTTCTCTTTTACGACGCAACCCCGGGAAATCACACGCCCTAACGCCCCCACCCTCCCCGCCCCCTCCCCTCCGGGCCGCGGCGCCAGATGCGCCCTGGCGGCCCTGGCGGCCCTGGCGGCCCTGGCGGTGCCGGGGTAATGGCGGCTGCCGCAGCCCCGGGGCTCTCTCTGCAGGCTGGCTCCGAGCGGCGCTCTGTCTCTCTCGCTCCGCCGTGGAACGCCCGGGCCCCGCGAGTGCGAGAGAGACAGAGCGCCTGTTGGCATCCGCCCGCTCTGCTCTCCGCCGCCAGGCCAGGGATATTGCGCGGCGAGGACACGCCACGACACCAGGGGCTGGGCTGGGCTGCCCTCCCTTCCAGTGCCGTGCGGGGGCCGTGCCGTGCCGTGCCGTGCGTGTTTCCAGCGGGATTGTGTTTGTGAATCAAAGAGAGTGCGCGGTGCGGCGGGCGCGCGTTTCGGCGTCGCCGAGCAGAGGCGTCGCGTCTCACACCCTGCACGGCCGTGCCCGAGGACGCCGGAGTGTCTCAGACGTTGCTCCGCCGGCGACCCTTGGAGTCGTCAGTCCTTTTGCTTCGAAACTCTCAGACAACTCGTTCCCCAAGTCTTGTGCGACCACTGCAGCGGACTGCACCAGAATCGAGACCACGAATCCAGCCTGCCGCACCGCCTTCGTGTTTATGTGGAGTGTGTGTGTGTGTGTGTGTGCGTGCGTCGCACAAGAAATGATAAACCGAGTGCATGGTGGTGCGCGGTGCGCGGCTTAAATATGGATGCGGTTTTACGTGCTAATTTTACGACGGGGCCGAGACTTCCTCGTGTAGCGCCGTCTCCCTCCTCCCTTCTCTCTCCCCTCCCCCCCCCCCCCCCCTCTCTCCCTCTGCCGCCCCTCGCTGCAACAAAGCTCCCCGTCACCCCCCGCATTCCAGGGCGCTGCTGCTTGGTCGCCTCCCCCACCCCACCCCCCACCCTCCCCCTTTCGCAGAGCGTAGCCTGGCGTAGCGCCGACAGCGGCCCGAAGCGCTCCCGGTTTAATTGGAAAGCAAGGCCTGCTCATAAATTGTCCTGGTTACGTTCTATGGTTTTAATTCACGCCAGGCGGCCGGGCAGGCGGGCAGGCGGCCGGGTCTGCAGGTCTGCACAGCCGCCAGCAGTGCGCGCCAAATCTGGGGCCGGGGAAGGGGTAGTGCCTAATGCACTACAGGCCATTCTCGGGCGCCAGCAGCAGCCAGCAGCAGCCTGCCCGGTGTTCACTTGTTCTTCGGGCCCCGCCTGCAGACTGTCTCCACCGCGTACGGCGTGGTGCGGTCTCTCTCGTACCCCTTAGCGGGAGAGAGAGAGACCGAGCAGCAAAACCACTTTTCGGAATCGTCCGCCTGCTGCGGCTGCCTCGCTGCTTATGGCGGGATGAAAAATGAAAGGGAGCAAAGTGGAGGGAAAACAGCGAATAGCGCGTCGCGTCGCGGTTATTATTGTATGAAAAAGTTTTGATGAGGGGCCGGGCCGGCCGGGCCGCCGCGGAGCCCCGCAGTCCCGGACGGCGCCGTCCTCGGCCTCGCCGCGGCCAAGGCGAGAGGCAAGAGGCAATCATGCGCCGGGACAAGATCACGCGCATTTCTATGCGAGGGCTCCGAGGGAGGGGCCTTGGCAGGCCTTGGCCGGGCAAACTCTAATGTTCCTTTGCAAAGTGAGTCGCAAGTAGCTTGTAACGGGCCGACGCGACGGGCCGTTAGGAGGCGCCGCGCCGCGCACTGGCGTGTCTGGTGTATTTGGAAGGTGCTGGGGGGAGATGGGGAGGGTGAATGAGAGGGAGAGAGAGAGAACCGTGGGTCTGCTTGCTGCTTTCGCTGGCCGCTCCCCCGAAAGATTGACAGCAGCGCCCTTCGCGCCGCCCTTGCCCACTACATTGATTTCCTGCTTCAAACGACCGCCCTTTCTCAAACGCCTCCTTTTTCTGTTGCAGGCGAGAAGCCCCACAAGTGCCAGGTCTGCGGCAAGGCGTTCAGCCAGTCGTCCAACCTCATCACGCACTCGCGGAAGCACACGGGCTTCAAGCCGTTCGCCTGCGACCTGTGCGGCCGCGCCTTCCAGCGCAAGGTGGACCTGCGGCGCCACAAGGAGACGCAGCACACCGAGATGCAGCAGCAGCAGCAGCAGCAGCAGCAGCGGCCTGGGGTGCCGGCGGGTCACCTGCCGCCGCATCACCCGCCGCCGCACGGCGTCCACCCGCCGCACCACCCGCCGCCGCAGCACCACCCGCCGCCCGCTCTCCACGCGCCGCCCCCGCACGCCCATGCGCCGCCCCCACACGCCCACGCGCCGCCCCCCACGCCCACGCGCCGCCCCCGGCCGCGCAGATGGTTGCCTAACAGAGCGCGCGGCTGCAGCCCGGAGTGCCCGCCGTGCTGCAGCCCGCGCTGTGGGGGCTGCCCCCGCTCCCCGGCGCCGCCGTGACCGCCGCGGCCCTGGACGAGGCGTCCCCGCACGCGCCCTTCCCGGCGCCGCGCTCCCCGTCGCCGGACCTGGTGGTGCACGTCGACGACGCGGACGACGGCGGCGACCAGCGCCAGTGAGGTGTCGCGCATGTTCCGGCACCAGCCGGCTCGGACAAAGGTGGCTGTGGCGGGAATCGAACCCGCGACAGTGTTTCGTTTCTTTCTGCGGACTTACCCACAAACATTGCCGACGGTGCCAGAGCACATATCCACGCGGGCCCCGCCAGGAGCCTGTCTCTAGTCCATTCCGAATGATGAAGCGGCCGCGGCGCCCAGCGCGAGTCGCCTAGGGGTTTTACTTGTGACGATGTCCGCACCAGAGTGCAGGTACTCCTTGTAATCCTGTGTCATTTTACTTAATTATGGTAAAACAAAAGATTAAGTGATAAATGCTAAGTTTTCTTGTTATCTCTTATTTATCTTAACACTTATTTGTGTGGTCGTTGTTGACCTTTGATTCGGAGTTCGGCGCGTTTTTATCGGTCATTTTACAAACTAATTATGTGATCATTGTTTTAAGAGTATTTAAGAACTGTTATGCGTGTAATCATTTTGCCGAAAGCTTGCTCTCGGAGACCAATGATATCATTTTTTGCTTTTAATCGTTTTTCGAGAGATTGTACCTTCAAGATTGCCATGAGCTTACTATGTACTTGTTATGTTATTTCATTTTTTGCACATTCTGAAAGCATTTTTTTGTTTCGTTTTTATTTTTGAAGAATAATAGCTACAGTTTCAGTTTTTCCTCATTGAATTTAAGTTGATTTTCTCATTTGTTTTTTACTATGTTATGTTACTTATTTAGTCAAATTTAGACGAATTAATGTTCATGTTGGCGTGTTGACTAGCTTCAATCGTTACCAGTACAAAGTTTTTCCGGCCTGTGTTTTTTCATGTACCACCAAAGAATCCTAGTTTCTGATAGCCAAATATGTTCTTTTCCTGTGATACGTTTCCCAAATATAAGTTGTTTTTTTGAATAGTCCTGTTTTATAAGTGTTGATTCGGTCGAACCTCTTGTACATACTAATTTCGCTGTTCTGTTTTGTACTCGATAAGTTACCTTTCGAAACCTTAAAAATATATATATATTTAAACAACGAATCAAAGCGATGTACCGTCTCGTCTCCCCGTTCCCCCGCACGCTCGCACCTCGGCGCCTCGGCGCCTCGGCTCCTCATCGCGTATTCAGGAAGGTGACTCGGGGCCATCGAGATAGCTATCGTGCCTCGACAAGGCACGGCCCGGCACGCCACGGCACGGCACGGCACGGCGCGCCAACCAAATGAAGTAGTGCCAACTCAATTGGCGACTGGCAAGGCTGGCAAGTTGACGCGAGGCACAGCCAGCACAGCCAGCGAGACTGAATCTAATCCCAAGGCTGCCAACACCCCGGCCCCGCCCAGCCAGGGCGGCCAGGGCGGCCAGGGCTGCCAACCCCCTAATGGTGTTATTCATCGCAGCGACAGAGCTGGCGAGCGGAGCAAACGTGATCCCGAAGTTAAGACCCACGCGGCGCGGCGCCTCAACACATTCAAATTGCGTTTCGCCTCGCCGGGCCGCTGGGCCGTGGGGCGGCGGGGCGGCGGGGGCGGCGATGACGGCCATGGCTGCCAACTTAGCGGCCCCGGCGCCCCGCCCCCGCGCCGCGCCACGCCCACCGCGCTCACCGGGCCGCCGCGCCGCCCGTGATAGGGGCATCCTACGGAGAGCAGTCTCGTCCGGAGCGTCGCGGGGAAATTAGAAACCAGAGGGTAGAGCCTGCAAGAGAAGAACATACGGAACATGAAACATTTTTAACGAAGTTACGAAGAGCTCTACGCTCCTGGCGGCATGAGAGGCATCGGCCAGATAGCAAGAAGCACAGATTCAGATCTAAATCCAGATCCAGGCCTAGTAGGTGGTTCCTCCAGGCCTCCAGGCCGACCGGCTCGCGAGGGGCAAGCGACGGACAAGCCAGTGTTTGCTGTCAGGCGTAGGAGCCGAGGGCCGAGGGGGCACCGGCAAAAACCGTCGCGCAAACAAGCCGCGGCGGGTAGGCCCTCGGGTATCAATAGGCGGGGCGGGGCGGGGGGGGCGGGGCGGGGGGGGGGGGGGGGGGCGGGCTGCTCCAGGGTGCGCACAGGGGTGTGCACAAGGCAAACATAAGCAAGCGACCGACGGGCTCCCCCTGGTTCCATAACTCACGCTGCGGGGCCGTGGCAGCTGGCCGTCGCTCTGTCTCCCTCGCACTGCAAGGGTACGAACCGTGAGTGCGAGAGAGACAGAGCGTCTCTGTTCGGAATCGGCCTTGCAGACCGGGCATGTGTCAACCGGAGGCCGACACACCTCGCCGCTACACCACACCCTGACCCCGCGCCCCGCCCAGCGCCGCCCGCCCGGCAAGCCGCCCGGCGCCCACACAGACCGAGACGTTCGTTAAAATTCGGCACCACGTTCTCGCACACCCTATTCGTAGGGATCCATTTTCAGAACGAAATTCTAATAAAATTTTAAACAAGATTGCGATTGCATTTTAACAGTGCATTCGTGTGCAGAAACAGTTCGTCGTTGGTGTTCTTCATTATCTAGTTGACATTCCCTGTAGCTTTCGGCGCGGCTTCTTATAGACCATTTCGCTGGATCCACTTCGATCCCTCGAGAAAACAAATGCACTGGAAGTCGCGTCGGCCAATCAGAAGCCTCCTTTCGTCAAGGGTGGGCGCTACCACTGATGCAAGGAGGGTCCTGATTGGCCGACGCGACCCGACTTCCGGTGCATTTGTTTTTTTCGAGGGATCGAAGTGGATCCAGCGAAATGGTCTATTGGCCGTCGAGCCGTTCGCGCCGTGGTAGTGATTCACCTTCCGCGGTCTGCCAGCGCTGCCAGGGCTGCCGCGGACTGCTCACGGGAGGGTCGCGGCACACCTCTGTTTGAAGAGGCCGCCCTGGCCGCCGGAAGGGGAGGGCGACGAGCACCGCCGTGGCCGGGGGAAGGGGGGGGGGGACTCATTTTGTGATGAAAAGTCAACACGGCCGGGCTGATGGCTTTGGCCAGGCTTTGCCCGGGCTTGCTCGGCCCCCCCGCGAGGCGTAGCGCGCGTTGCGTCGTCGGCAAGCACGGCCAGCCTGTTGGTTTTGGCCGGGCGTTAGCGTTTGACGAAATCGTTACCGTGGCCCGGAGTGGTACGACAGTCACGGGCACGGCACTGCTAGAGGGACCCGGCCTCGGGAAGAAGAGCGTCTGCCTGGAACCTGCGGACGTTTGCCGAACTTGCTGGACGCGTTAGTGCGGGAAACCCTGGCCGTGGCGAGACGCGCCGTCCTCGTCGCAGCCGCCGCGTCCGGTGTTGCGCCGGCGGGGCGCTAGGGGCGCTGGCGTCGCGCGTCGCCACCGGCACGCACTCCCTGGCCTCCTGGGCGAGCGGCCGCCGACGGAGCTCCATTCCGACGCCGCCACGCGAAAGGCCGCGGCAACGGGCGTCGTCCGGTACCCGCCGCGGCCCGCTGCGACGCGCCGGCGAGCACCCAGGCCGCGCAGAAGACCGGCCCTGCTTCGCTCTCGCTGGCGACCCCCTGCCGCGCCGCGCGGTATACATACGCTGCGGGAACCCGCGGCAGACAGGAAGAGTCCGATGCCTCTGTGTCTCCTACCGTATGTCCACTCAGGAAGATAGTGTGACGAGTCCGTCGATGTGTGGTCGGTCGGAGACGCAGGCATGGGATTGCGGAGTGTCTTGGGTCAGCACTGCCGAATCAGAAATATGCTGGGAGCGTTGTAGTAAGAGCCAGGACTGGCAGACCCAGGAAGAGGCTGTCAGAGGTGGCATAAGTGCAGAGGCGCCATTGACTCTTCCCTTTTGTTCGATAATGCGGTTTAATTTAAAATTTCGTCGCCGGCACTGTCGGTGTAACGACGAAACTGGGCATCCCTCCTCAAATTTCGGTTCTTTTCCCGGCATGGATTGGGGCTCGCCGATCGGCGCCTACCCAAAGCTGGCGGCCCCGCACGTGCTCCAGGCCGACGACGCCGTCTCGGTGGCGGCTTGGCGGCGTGGCGGTCCGCTGGCACGTCCCCGCTACGCCGCGCCGCGCCGGGGCGTCGCATGGGGCAGATCAGCCCTCTCCCCGTTACAAATTCAAATCCAATTGCTTCTCCGACACTGTTGGGCCGGGCTGGCGCTGCGGTCCCCACGGGCCCTGCCCCCTCCCCGCCCCGCCCCGCCCCGCGCCACGTACTGAGGCGCTGCGCCGCTGTTCATCGATGCCTCCGCTCCGCCCACGGATGCTCGGCGGCTTGGCGCGGCGCGAGGCGGCACCATCTGCAGTCTTGATCGCGAATCCGTCAAGTCCGGCCACGCCTTAATGGCCCCCTCCCCTCCCGTCGCTCCTTCCCCCGCGTTTAAAAGTAAGACGCGGGGCGCTTGGTTCGCCCCCCGGTCGCCCCTTTCAGATTGAGATTTCTAACTGGGGCCTCGTTGCCACGCGCGTCGCGGTCCGGCGCAGACTTCATTATCGGCAGCCGGACCCCCCCCCCCCTCTCTCTCTCTCTCTCTCTCTCTCTCTCTCTCTCTCCCTCTCTCTCTCTCTCTCTCTCTCTCTCTCTCGCACCCTTACGGACCTCGCCCATGAGTGTGAGGGAGACAGTCGACGCGACTGCTCGGAATCAGCCTGCAGAGACCCGGCCCGGTGGGGGAGCCAAGGAAATTTTAACGAGCTCGCCCGTAAAAAGATTCCTGCGAGGGCGGCTTCGGCGTCGCCGAGGCCGAGGCGCGGTGAGGCAGCGGCAGCGTCGTCCCCGGCACGCCGCACCCCGCTGGAGACTGGAGGTCCATGAGGAGAGTCAAGGCACCCTCGCCGTGCGGCATTCAGCAAAGCCAGAGCTGCAACACAGTAGAAGTAGAAATTTTCAGAGGACTGGCAATTATCTGGCTATCCATTTGGACATAAATCCATTCGAAGTGGAAAACAGCTGGAGAGGCATAAGAAAGGTCGATGGTGCCTCTGCACTTAGGCCAGTTGGGTTGCAGAGACCCCCCAAACTCTGATCCCCTGTCGGCCGACTACGATGGGACGTCCAGACAGGACGAATCACCCAC